GAGGGATCCCGCTGTATGAGAAATACGGGGGGGAAACGTCGCGATACTCTCAAATCAAATCGTGAACGGCGGGCTCTAAGTCGGTCGTGAACTGCGTGAGTTCTTCAACGGTTGCGTCAGCACGAGACGTATGGGTGGACTCGACAGTGAACAGCGTAGGGACCTGGGATGTTGAGGGGGTATCCGTAGGCTGAGGGATAGATGCAGAGATGAGAGCTGCGAAGATGGAGGAAGGATTAGGGGGATCCGGCTCCAATGAGATGATCTCAACCTCGGGACAGAGTGGATCATAGCAAAGAAGATCCATGATGTTCACCGAGTATAACGTGGCATCCTCTTGTTATATGAATTGAGCGAACTAACGAGGAGAAGTGAAGGCGATGTCAGGGTGGGACCCAGAGGAACGAGGGTCCTGGGGAGGTAGGTCGGGACATGTGTCGCCTGTGGTTCCAATAAAGGGGACTCGATGGGTCTGACCACAGTTCGTTTTGAGAACGAGTGTCTCGGTCGCCCATTCGGCCTTTGTGCCACGGAACTGGCAAGACCAGGGAGTGCCAAGGATAAAGTCGTACCCAGTCTCCAACACGTCAAAGTATGTGGAGGAATTGTAGCGCCAAGGCGCCTAGGTACTATCCGGTGGCTGGAGGGTGAGACAAAAGTATGAGGAGGAGGAGGAGGAGGAGGAGGAGGAGAAGAACAACAAGAAAAAGAAGAGGAGGAGGAGGAGGAGGAGGGGGAGGAGGAGGAGGAGGAGGAGGAGAAGAAGAAGACGAGGAGGAAACGGAGGAGGAGGAGGAGAAGAAGAAAAAGAAGAATTTGATATCGAAGATGGAAAAAAAAAATCACTATGGCTATGGCTCTGCCTCAACGCGGAGGGAAGCAGAGGAGGAGGAGGAGGAGGACAGGAAGAAGAAGAAGAGGAGGAGGAGGAGAAGAAGAAGAAGAAGAAGAAGAAGAAGAAGAAGAAGAAGAAGAATCTGATACGGGAGATGAAACTCCAAAACAAATCGCTTTGGCTATGGCTTTGACTCAACGGGGAGGGAAGCGGAGGAGGAGGAGAAGAAGAAGAAGAAGAAGAAGAAGAAGAGGACGAGGAGGAGGGAAAAAATGAAGAAGAGGAGGACGAGAAGGAGAACAAGAAGAAGAGGAAGAGGGAAAAAGATGATGAGGACGAGGACAAGGAGGAGGAAGAGAAGAAGAAGAAGAGGAAGGAGGAGGAGGAGGAGGAGGAGGAGGAGGAGAAGAAGAAGAAGAAGAAGACGAAGAAGAAGAAGAAGAGAAAGAGGAGGTGGAGGAGGAGAAAAAGAGAAAAAGGAGAAGCAGAAGAGGAGAAGGTGGAGGAGAAGCAAAAGAAGAAGAAGAAGAAGAAGAAGAAGAAGAGGAGGAGGAGGAGGAGGAGGAGGAGGCGAGGGCGGTGTAAAAGAAAACCACGAAGAAGAAGACAAGAGAAGGAGAAGAAGAAGAAGAAGAAAAAAAAAAAGAAGAAGAAGAACGTCAAAAAAAGAAAAAGGAAAAAAAAAGTAACTAAACTGTCAGACTTACCTTCGCGGCTATGGGGGGCGGTTGCAATGAAGCGGGTTGGCGGGGAGAATCAGCTGCGGGGCTATGTCGATGGCGGGCTGAAGACGGGGCGATGGTGCTGGTTGCTTTGTCGCAGCACACGACGTCGACGTGCATGGTGAATGGCGCGACGTCAATGTCGAGTATTGGTGCACAGGACTGGGGCAGGCGGGGCGAAGGCAGCCGAAAGCAGGCCAGGAGAAGATTTGAAAACGCGGCCGATTTCGATCGGAGATCCGTAGATCTGCGGTAGAAATCGACCGCGTTTTCAAATTCGAAAACGGGGCCCTACCGGACCCCGTTCTCTTTAGAAAACGCGCGGCCGATCTCCACCGTCGATCTGCGCCGATCGGCGGCGGAGATTGGCTGTTAGGTTTCTCAAGAAAACGGGGTTCGGTAAGCCCCGATTTTCTTCTGAAGTGGTGGCAGCGGCCTCCCAAAGGTTGGGTGGGGATGGGGACGCCCGAAAATTCCCAGTACCCCCCCCCCAAACACAGTGCGCTCGATTGAACCGGGGGCCTGCCAGACTGGTGAACCCCGCGGTCCGACCTACAGGCTCCCGGTCGGTCGAAGGTCCCCCGGTCCACCCCGGTCCATCCGGGGACTAACACTGCTCAAAATACGATTAAATTGATCCCCAAACCCCAAACTGGATTTTCGGTACTGAAATCTTGAATGCACGGGCGGATATAACTCAAAAATGTAACTAGATAAAATCCCGAAGTGGGTTTTCGATAATGAAATCCTGAATACACACGTGAATATATCCACATAATGTGTCTAAGTAAAATCTTGAAATCCTGAAGTGGGTTTACGGTAACGAAATCCCCAATACACACGCGTATATAATCTCAAAATGCGATTAAGTAAATTGCGAAATCCCCAAAGTAGTTTTTCAGTAACGAACTCTCGATGCACACCCAAATGTAACTCTAGTATTTTAACTTTGAAGTAAAATTTTGAAATCCCGAAGTAGGTTTTCGGTAAAAAAATCCCGAATCTTGAAATCCCAAAGTGGGTTTTCGATAATGAAATCCTGAATACACGTGTATATAACCTCAAAAGATGACGAAGTATAATCTCGAACTCCTGAAGTGGGTTTTTAGTTGCGTAGCACCGCGAACGTGCTCGCGCCCCTTCATGTTCACGCGAACAGCTCGCGAACATGTTCGGGAGAACATAATTTTTTTTCGTAAAAAAATATATATATATATTTTTTTCGGTTTTTGCTGCGTAGCACGGCGAACGTGTTCGCGCCCCTTCATGTTCGCGCGAACAGCTCGCGAACATGTTCGGGCGACCATAATTTTTTTTTTGTAAAAAATAAAAATAAAAAAATTATTAGTTTTTTCGGTTTTTGATTTTTAACTCATGATTGGCTACGAATTTGAACATGACTCCAAGGCAAAAGTTGCTTGTATTGTTATTTTACATAACATATATTGTTTTCAGTTTGTTTTTTTTTTTTTCCAAAAAGATCCATGTGGTAGTAGCGGCTGGGCTCTATGCCTCGGGAAGTGTCTGATTTGCATGTTCAACCAGTGGGGGGATGACTTGGAGGATCCACATTTTCGGGGACACCTAACCATAGAGACACTTTGACTGTGTTACTTTTTTAATTGTCGTAAGTCGAGCCCCTATAGCTGGTTACCTAGACCTAGCCTAACTAGACCAAGGCTCCCAAACCCGCAATGTACCAAGGATCTAACTACAGACCACTGACTGCTACCATAGAGGACACGCTGATTACTTAGGGACGACCCAGAGCAGATTGGGCTATTTCCAACCTGCATCAACCTCACAGACTCTGGTGGCGAACCACACTTCTATGAACGATACGACAACCACCCTACCCTTTCCCAGATGAGTCTACTACCTGGAGGAATTCCCTTTGATGTGTACCCCTAAGTGATCTCTCCAGTGGGTATGACAGACCAGGCACTATCCCGGATGAAGCCCATCCCGCAGGCATCGTAGGATTTTAACGGGGCCCCGCCTGCAGGCATCGTAAGTGCGTAGGACCCATCCTGCTACGACCACACTATAGAGTGCATGAGAGGCGGGATCAGACCAGGACCAGGGCGGGGACAGGTATGGGTTCAACCATCGGTGAACCTCTGGATCAGGAAACCCAAGACGGTACCCAAGACATCTGAAGACACCCCAGGAGCCCACACAACCCCCATGGAACCTGAAGGGGTTCACACCCCTCATGCGGACTGACACCCTAACCTAACCCGACCCCTAACCTAAACCCCGCACTGGCCAGTATGTCTGGTGCAGACCCGATCATCGGACTGGAGGCCTGACTAAACCCTTCGGGTACCCCTCATTCTCAGGCGCAACCCCAACATCGGACTATCCCGTGGGTCTGATCATTCAGGACGGACGACCCTCCCCCAAAGCCCGCGGTGAAATCCCTAGACTAAATGCAGACCCGATCATCGGGTCGGAGATCAGACCCAACCGAACACCCCTCATCTGTGGAATAACCCCCTCAGTCATTGGACTACCCCAAAGGCCGACCATTCAAACAGTCCTCCCCCAAATCCCGCTCCCAGCATACTAACAACATGGACCAGTCCCTTAGGCGGTGCGCAGGCAGTGTCTGTATAAACTTACCAATGCGTCGTCCCAAGGGTGGGGTGCGAATGGCGCGGTGCTATGAAAGCGCGAAACGTCGGAAAAGCGTGCAGGCCGTGAGTTTTGAACCCACGACCTGATACCACATTGCGCATTTCCAGACGCTATCCTAACCACTTGGACATCACGCCATTCCATTTTTTTTTTTGTTTTTTTTATTTATGTTCGCGTTCGGGGGGTTTGGGTGCTTGTTCGTGTTCGCCTTCGAACCCGAACACGGTGCTACGTAGGTGCAGACTAACAATGCAAACAAGTTTTGTCTGGTAGTCATATCGGAAATCCCGACCAAACTTGCAATAAACAGAACTGTAAAGAAATTTAAGAAAACTTCAAAAGAATAAAATTTATAAAAACTAGTTTTTCAATTATTATGACATGCGTAGCATCGTGTTCGCATTCGGAGGCGAAAACGAACATAATCGCCCAAACGTGGACGAGCGTTAAAAACCCTCCAAACGCAAACATAAAAAAATATTTAAAAAAAAACAAAAACAAAAATCTCATAAAAATCTGAAAAAACTATATGTCATGCAAAACAACAATACAAGCAATATTTGCCTTTGGAGTCATGTTCAAATTCTTAGCCAAATGTGAGTTAAAAATCAAAAACCGAAAAAACGAAAATTGTTTTTTTTCTAAAAAATAAATGTTCATCTGAACACGTTTGCGAGTTGTTTGTGTGAACGAACGAACACGTTCGTGCGAACGCTGAGGGACGCGAACACGTTCACCGTGCTACACAGATTATAACAATATTACTTTTTTTAAGTTTTGATTTTTAGATTGAGGTTTGGTTGGGAAATACGGGATGACTCTTGGGAAAAAGTTGTTTATATACTTCGTATTAGTTTGTATTATTATTCTGCATAAGATGTATGTTTTTGATTTTTTTTCGTATATTTTTTTTTTTCCTTTGTACAATTGCGAAAAGAAATGAATGAACTTGAGCCCAATGCCGTCCAATTGCAAAAGAAATGATAGAACTTGAGAGGAGAGCGAGGGAAAGAAGAAGAAGAAGAATTAAGAAAGAAGAAAGAGATGATGTACTCCAGCATAGACCAAAGACAAAGCTCTT